TAAAAATTTAATAATAATAATAATAATAATAATAATAATAATAATAATAATAAAATGGAATGAGACACTGAGAAATTTTTTTTTACTTTTTTTTTTTTACAACCGTACTTAATTACAATAAAATTTTTATTATTATTATTTTTCAATCGAATTTATTTAAATAATACAAATAAATAAATTTATTTATATTATTTATTTAACATGACAGTAACTACACATAGATAATTATTATTATTAAATAAAATAAAAAATAAAAAAATTAATAGACTAGAAAAAAATAAATAACTTAAAAAAAAATTTCTTATTACATTTATTTAATAAAAAATATGGCAACTTAAATAAATAATGATAATAATGATGACTAGTTAGAAAAAAAAAAAAATAATAATAATAATAATCTCACGTTGATTTTGTTGAAAAAAAAAAAAAAAAGAAAAAGTTTTTGCTATTTAACAGATCATTATTATTATGATTACCAAAAAAGACAGTATTCAAAAGTTAGTTAGTTAATATCCGTCAAAATTAATAATAATGAAATTAAATTTCATTATTATTATTATTATTATTATTATTACTTAATTTAATTTAAATCATTACAAAAAAAACTAATATTTAATAATAATAATAATAATTTTTTTATACAAAAAAGGAAAAAAATTATATATATATATGTATAAATTTACACGATTTCAAAAAAAAAAAAAAATTACTATAAATTAAATGCGATACAGAAACATAATAAAAGGAAAACAAACAAACAAACAAACAAACAACAACAACAAACATAAACATAAATTTTTATCATTTTTTTTTGACGGTTAAGGAGGACCCATATGCTTTTTTTTTTGTTTGCATTTTTTTTTTATTCCTACCGTCTTTGTTCCCTGACCAGCTAGCTACCCATTTTTATATGGGTTTGAATGGACCCAAAACCAAACGTTCTTTTCAATTTAAAAAAAAAAAAAAAAAAAAAAAATTTATAATCAATGTTTTTGTTTTTTTTTTTTTAATAATTTTTTTTTTTTTAGTTTTTTTCATTAAAGAACTTTCTAGAATTTTAAACAGATGTTTTCTCCTTTTTATTAATTATTAATTTTTTTCTTATTATTATGGGTAACACTCTTAATCTCATTCCCGTGTCTTTAAAAACAATAATAATAATAATCATAAAAAGAAAAAAAAAAAACTTTTTTGTTGGAAAGTAGTTGTTGTGCATATAAACAACAAACTACCCTTAAAATCAAAAAATTGTAATTATTACGTAATCAACATAAATAAATAAATAAATAAATAATAATAATAATAATAATAATAATAATGACGATAATTTTATTTATTTTGTGCAAATTAATAAGCTTTCTTGCACTATATAAAAGCAATCGCACGACAACGTGCTGGAACCAACAACAAATCCATATTAAAATTTTATCAATTATTTATATATATATATATTTATTTTAATAATAATAATAATTTATTTCTTTTGCATTTCTATGTATAAAAATAAATAAATAAAATTTTAAAATATTTAAAAGTTCTTAGAATTTAATTGTGAGGGTTGCAAACAAAAAAAAAAAAAAAAAGTTGCGTGAAAATAATTAATAAACTATTAAGCCTCACACAAAACGCAACTAAGCTAATAATAATACATTTGTGATTATTTTTTTTTTTTTGAACAACCCCCTCCCCCTTTCGCATCCCTTCCCGAAATAACCAATTGTTATTATCATTATTGAGATTTTTACCACCTGGGAGGAAGTCGACGAGTATCCAGAGTAGGTGATAAAAGCGACATTAAATTTTGCGAAGGAGTATTGCTCAAACATTCCATTGTTAATGGCGATTGCAAATGTTTATGTTTGATAACTTCTCTTTCCATAGTCAACGGCCATACATCCTAAAAAAATTATTATTATTATTATAAATTAGTAATTTGTATCGAATTTAATATATCAATAATAATAATAATTATTATAAATTATAAAACCTTCATAAAAATGGCTTCATCTCAGGACGACTCGGACCCACCCCTAGCTTTTCTTCCCGTTAGTGAACCAACAAATGATTTAAGGGCAGCACCGATGCTTTTCCCCGGCGTTTGAGAACCCGATTGACTTCGGGGAATCCCTTGAGGATGAGCATCCAAACATTTTTGATACCTCAGCTAAAAAAAAAAAATTCAAACTATAAACATGTGAATTCATTTAATTAAATCATGTTTTTAAGGTATAATCATTGGGTGTACCTTGCAAGCGGCTTCAATTGTTTTGCAAAGAGCTCCCGAAGAAGGTTCACAATGAAAAACGTGAGCTATAAAAAGATCCTGAGCGGTGTGCATGATAAAACCGCAAAGTTTTACATTTTGACCGATGCCCAAAAATGATAGGTATCTCACACGACATTCGCTAATTACACTATTTTCATCCTGAAAAAATAATAATAATAATAATAATAATATCAGCCATGTTTAAATTTATTAATTTGTGATGTTAAAAAAAAAAAAAATTTAATTTTACCCCGCAGGGTGAAATTGAGATCATGCTAGGAGCTACGGCTATGCTGACATTAATCCAGGTATCCTCAGGTGTGTGAGATAATTGATCGATGGCTTCGTTTAATATGTCCATTCCCGTTGCTTTATTAACCTGACAACTACCTAGGTACTGAGCTTTTAATATTTTTTTAGGTTCTTCCATCGGCGTTGGAAAAGATTGATCTGTAAATTAAAATATAAAGACGGTTATAAATAATTTCAAATTTTTTATTTTTTCTTCGTTTCGTTGAAAATGATATGAATGAGACTTACGGCCTAATGATAATCCTCCTCCATTTCTTTGATGTCTTCGATTTTCCGTCGGTAAATTTGTAGGTCTTACAGCCAATCCTTGCCTTCCGCAGTTATCTGAAATAAATTTTTAAAAAAAAAGGGGGGAGGGGGGAAAGCCGTTAAAAACTCTTCTCCTATTAAATTTTTTTTTTTACTTCAAGAAATACTCACTTATGTCGACGGGTTTTGCAAGATTTTGTTGCAAACTTCTTTCGATCATAATTTTTTTGCATATGTCTCGTAGGGTGTTTGCAATCGTTCTAGCCGATATATCACACCTGAACACGTGACACATGTGTCTTCTGGTTACTTTGTCTCGTGCAACGTATGCAAAATCCCTAAAAAAAAAAAAAACAAAAAAAATTCCCATTAAATTCAAATAAAAGACAAACTTAAAAAAAAAAAAAAATTATATCACATGCAGGTATTGAAATTATACCTTATTTCGTACCTTAATTACACGTGTATAAATTCGTGTATATTTTTTTAGGCTCGAAAAAATAATTCGTGAGATTTTTACACACAGGTTTGACTCTTTATCATTTTTAATTAAAGCATTTGTAAAAAAAATCGAATGAATTGATTCGAGAAATTTTAAATAATTTAAATAATTTAAACAAACAACAACAACAACAAAAACAATCAAAAATTTAAAAAATAAGTAGTCAGCGACAATTTAATTTAATTTAATTTAATAAAAATAAACTAAAAAAAAAACAAAATGTCATGCGTTATAAGCAAATGCAAATAATATTATTATTATTAATTTGAGCATTAGGCAATACCTTAATGTCAATAAATAAATAAATAAAAACAATTTTTAATAATATAAAATGGCCGACGGAAATTTTTACAATAAAGAATGCAAAAAAAAAGAAAAGAAAGAATCCTTCAACGTACCTTTCCCTTCAAAGGTAGATCGTTTATATACATGACGTC